TTCAGACCTGTGAATGCCGTGCAGGGCACACAACCAGTTGTCATAGACGAGACGGAGCTTCGTCTGCCTCACGAGACGCGGACCACAATAGCCCAACTTCGCTCTGGTTACTGCAGCAGGTTGAACTCATACCTGAGCAGATTAGATGCAGATATGCCAAATGAGTGTTCGGCATGCGGAGAGACACCCCACGACTCGAAGCATCTCTTCGTATGCCCGGAAAACCCCACGCAACTGACGGCTCTGTCCCTGTGGACAGACTCTATAGAGGCTGCACGCTTCTTGAGACTTCCGTTAGTTCAGCTTGACGACAACGACTGAGACACTAACCGGTATGTATGTACCCTATTTGCCCAGAAATAGCTAAGCGTAATTTAAATAGCGTGAAGGAGAAAGCGCTCAGTGGTTTCCTCTTCGCCGAAACGTGCGTACAAGTTTGGATAATGTTGTTAAACCTGGCAGTGATGCGAATTGTGTATATTAATTCAATGTGACAGGTGAACATGGATACCAGGAGTTGAAGTCGCCATCCAGCCACAAAAGCCCCACACCAAATGTTTGCACTCCTTTATGAAAGCTGTAATAAACGTAACATGCTCCATATTTTTTAAGCCATGCCACGACTATTGCATTTCCACAACTGCGGGAATGGCAGCCTTATAGTATTTTAGAGGGTCCAGCATTGGGCGGTGGTTGTACGTGACGGGACTTAAGCTTCTATCTATGTTGATGACTTTTAAGCCTTGTAAGGATGCACAACTTGCTGATCACAGCTCTTATAACTCATACCTTTAATCTCTTATTAGTTACCAAAAAAAAACGGTTTCATTCACAAGAAAACTGAACTTACATATTTATACCCGTTTACGGGTATTATTTAGAGTTTTGAGAAATTGAAGAGTTAAGTTTATTCTAATTTTTTTACAACTGAGATCCTGGCAAAACTTCTTTTCATCCAGCAAGGGGCAAAAAATTACAAATTTCGGTAGGTTAGGTTAGGCTGTAAAACCACTGCATGACTTTGGAGTTCATTGCGCTTTCAGAAAAACTACGACCTTTTATGCAAAAACAGTGAACTCTCCTTGTGAAATCGACAAACCCAGTCCTGTTAGTACTACAACCACTAGCCTTACGTTCGCCTTCTTAGGATATCAGACAAGCTTTGAAAGCTTATCATCGTATGTTGTGCATGCACTTCTGCGCCTACTGCAAGCTGGTCCACCTTCGTCCTAGCCCTCTTCATGTCCTCACGCCAGCCTGTAGTCCACATAGTGTTGACGCTATACTATTGTGATAAATAACAGGAACCGCATACAAACTGCCAAGTAGTTTTAAACTTGGCGGCAGTTTCGAACGCCGGGGAATCATATAACAAGGTGTAGAGTGCTGCCATCAGTGTAGTCTTGAGTGCCCGTCTCATACCAATAAAAGTATATATGCCATGTTTATATGTATACATTTTCCATTATTTTAAGAAATGCTTTCCTCTTCATTGCTGTCCACCGAACCAATATCCCGTGGAACAGTATCCGCCTAACAATTGCCGGGAAGCTTCAATGAGAAAGATAACGGAGGGCGGCTCATCCACTTCGCCGCAGCACGGTACATGGTAGTTATTTAGTAGTGCCATACATCAGCATCGAAACATCAATAAAACCATTTGGGTGTCCCCTGATCAAAGACGAAAAACCTAATTGATAACGTTGTGATAGGCGCGACGAATGTTCGACGTCAAAAACTACAGACATTGACGGCACCTGAGAACTTTTGCAATCGACTATGAATCTTGCTTAAACCAGAAACTACTCATCGACCGGATATATAGAACCACGATCCCGAAAATAAAGTTTGCGCCATTCGCGGACCGCTAACCCTCTCTTCGTCGATTTGACAGCATCCACCCAATCGCTGACGTCATACAATACTTTTGTTTACATTCACTGTTGCCAACTTAATGCTTTTCGCACCAAATTTAGTGGGTATTCAAAACGCGATCATTTTTGAGTTTGGTGTTTGATCCGTTTGTGGTGCTTTTGTTTTTAGTTTGAAGACAGCAAAATTTATAGCAATCGTAAGTGTGGTAAGGAACTTCACAAAAAATTTAACAAAATCATGACACAGTGACAATAATAAGCGACAACAAAATATGTGGCAGCACCTACAATCATGACAGAAGAAATCGACCGTCGTGCAAGAAACATTGATTTTTATTAATTTCAATCGGCATCCTTACAATAAAATTATGTATGCATAT